AACTGTGTTCTGCATTTATTGCAAATGTTTCATTTTTAAAATTAATTTAATTTTTTTAGAATTTATTTTCAGAGGGACGCACAATACAACTGGGGGAGGGGCAGAGAGGGTGAGAGAGAGAATCCCAAGCAGGTTCCACACTGTCAGCGAAATGCCAGACATGGAGGTTGAACCCACAAACCGCGAGACCATGACCCGAGCCAAAATCAAGAGTCAGATGCTCAACCGTCTGAGCCACCCTGGCGTCCCCAAAACGTTTTGTGTTTAAGCTGTGTGTATATGTGGTAGGAGGAGGGTGTGTATGTGATAATATTAACATTATTACATGGGAACAAACCCAAGGGAAAACGATGAAAGAGACATTTCAAGAAAAGTTTGTATTTCAAGAAAATGTGTATCTTCTCCAGAGAAATAAAAGATCTGTGAATAGTGATCTTGAAAGCATGCCAAACGGCTTAAAGGAGAATGGAAGAGGGGGAGCCAACTTCAAGCCCCCAAATCATATAAAAGGGAAAAAGAAAAACACTGAGAAAGTCCTGAACCTGGAGACTTTAGTAATTACCATCGTGCTTCAGAATCGGGAGTCATTTGAGGTCCCTGCCCAACTGGCAATTTCTTCAACAGAATGAGAAATCGCGTGTTCTCACCCACCTCGCAGGACACAACTGTAGCTTATGCCCACTGCTTCCAACTTGCTAGCCTGGCTGCAGAACTCGAATGAACAATTAGCAGACCTGAACTCCACATCGGTCTACTAGGTGCAAGAGAAGGCACCAGGAGTCAGGGGGCAGGCCCCTCGTCCTCCAGGAGCTGACCACTCAGGTAGGAAAGATGAAGCAAGAGAATTTACACGTGAAAAAGGAACACAACCCCAATACTGTCTTCCCCAATACATTCCTGCAGTTGGGGAAAGAAAACTGAAAGGCAAGGACAAAAAATAGAACACAATCCCTTGCGATATAGATTTGGGAGCCTGTGTTTATTTGAATGACAAATCCATCACCTGGAAAACAAGGTCTTCTACCCATCATATATAGAGATTTTAGTTGGTGATGGAAGGGAAAGAGCCATAGGGTTTTGATCAGTTCTCTGGTGAGAGCAGCCCAGTTCCTCAAGGCTGACCCAACTGTTCTGGAAACGTGGATCCTCACGGTTCATTAAACACACTCAAATTGAACATTCACACTGTGCCAGGTCTTGTGCTCGGCACTAGGGAGAGAGATAAAGGGGTCCCGATTCTTATCTTCAATGTGGACATGAAAGCCAATTTTTCTCCCCAAATTGGAATGCAGTGGTATGCTAAGTGCAATACAACAGAACTTTATATGAATTGATTTGGCAGCACGATGGGGAATGAATGCTGGGGCCACCACTTGCAACCTCAATGACATCGGACAAATATTTCAATCATTCTCAAGCCTGTTTCTGTGGATATTTAGGAGTATCCACCTCGGATATAGTATAGTAGGGTACACTACAGGGTATAGTGAGAGCATAGTAAATGACGGTCCTTGCACATTATTTTTGTTTATTATGCACCCTTATTATGACATTTGGGCTAGGCGGGGAAAGATTAGTTCAGTAGGCAGAAAACGAACCCAAAACAATGCTCAAAGCACTCATGAATATGGAGTACCTAGTTTTCCGGAATGAAATTGAGTCACATCCTACAGAGGGGCAGTTGCCGCCTCTGCAAAACGGGGGTTACTTCCACCGTGCAACACTGGGAAAAGTCCCCGATCGCAAGCGCCAAGTTCCAGGGCGCAGGAGCGCACTCCATGGGAGCTAGCGTTTCCACCGGGACACTTGAGCGATCCGGACAGCTGGGCACAGTCAGGTCCCAGTTGACACCGCCCGGACGTTCAGTCCCTACGCGTGTCCGCCGTCAAACCCACGTCTGGGCGGCGGCGGGATGCTCCCACCCCCCAGGCCTGCCCGCGCGCCACCGCTCCAGGCCAGCCACGCTGACAGGGCCTCCCAGACCAATCACACAAAGACGAAAACAGCCGAACGTCCCTTCCTGGAGCGACCTGCCTTCTCGGAAGTCGATGCGGTCGGGTCTCGCCTTCCTCTCACTAGCGGGCTGGACGCCAGGCCTCCCTTGGCAACCGCGGCCTCTAGCAACCGACACCCCCGCTACCCTCGGTCTCGCTGGTGCTCTCTCTGCGCAGGCGCAAAAGGGGTGGGCCCAAGTCTTCCGCCGGCGACCGGCGTCCCCCGTGTGCTCGGGGCGGGGCTTGCGTGATGGCGTCACAGGGCGGGGCTTCGGGCGCGGGAAGAGGCGGCGGGAGAATGGAGGTGCGGGAGAGCGGCGGTGGCGCAGGAGAGCTGGGGACCCAGGACCCTGCCCCCGCCTCCGGCAAGACCGCGGGCAGCGCGAGCCACTACGAGCTGCCGTGGTGAGGACCTAGGCCATAAATGATGGGTGCTCTGGACGTGTGGATGGGCGAGTGGGCGGGCCGCGTCCCGTGGGGAATCCAGGGGCTGGAGCTTGTTCCAGGGGCTCCTTAGCGGGGCAGGAGGTCCCGGGACGGCGTCGAGTACATTAGTATTTGGAGAGGGCGAGGGATGCGCTTCGTTGACCCCACCTAGCTCAAGAGTGGCGGGTCTGAAGTCTGGCGGGGGGGGGGGGGGTCCTCGGTCAGAACCGAGACCTGCGATCACAGACTGTGTTAATAGCCGCCTCCTGTGACCACCCACTCAACACCCGGCGCTGTGCCTGGGGCGACTCTGATGTCGGGAAGCGTTGGTTGCAGATTCGGAACTCGGGGTTGCGTGCACAAGGTGCATCCTGGGTAGCTAAGAGGAGCTGGTGACATGGGAAGCCACCTCACGGGCACAGGTGTGGTATGGATGATCCGCTCCGGTTCCACTCCCTATGCGCGTGGTAATGGCTTTACTCTCTCGCCTGTGTGTGTGCCCATCCTTCCAGACCACCCCTCTTGACCATAGTAGGCACCTTAATGGAGTGCAGTACAGCCCACTGGGCTATCCACAGCTGCACTGTCCAGTCCCCCAGCCGCTAGCCACTTGAGTCTATGGAGTGCACCGGAAATGAGGCTAGTCCCAATTGAGATGGGCTCTAAGTGTACAAAATACACTGGATTTCCAGGACTTAGTATTTAAAAAATCTCATTAGTAATTGTTACATTAACTACATGTTGAAATAATACTCTTTCGGATATATTAGGTCCAATAAATTATTTAAAAAAATTTTTTAATGTTTATTTTTGAGAGAGACAGAGCACAAGTACGTAAGGGGAAGAGAGAGGGAGACACAGAATCCAAAGCAGGCTCCAGGCTCCGAGCTGTCAGCACAGCCCCTAGGTTCAATAAATTACTAGTAAAATTAACTTTACCCGTTTTCTTTTTATCTTAAAAAAATTTTTTTTTTTTGAAATTGAGACAGAGGTAGTGTGGGGGAGAGGGGCAGAGTTAGAGAGAGAAGGAATCCCAAGCAGGCTCCACTCAGCACGGTGCCCAATGCGGGGCTCAACACAGGGCTCCATGCCACGACCCTAGGACCACGGCCTGAGCTGAAATGGAGTCACATGCCGAACCAACTGAGCCACCCGGGCGCCCCTTTTTACCTTTTTTAAGGTGGTTGCTAGAAAGTGTAAAATTACATATGTGGCTTAAGTTACATTTTTTATGCACAACACTAGATGCTTACTTCCTTATACAAAACACACGACTGTCATGAGCTTCCACTGGATAGGGAAAGAATAGAGAGTCGACAAGTAGACATGTATATTTGCTGATGACAGGTGGCATGGGGTAAGTGGGTCTGGTGGTCAGGGAAGGCCTTTGATGAGCTATTTCAGCAAAGGCTGGAATTCAGGGAGTAAGCCATGTGGCAATGTGGAGAAAGCTTTCAGGCAGGGGGAGCCCCTCTGAAGGCCCTGAAGGAGGAACATGTTTGCCTTGTTCAAAGTCTAGCTTAAATTTCAGCACCTACATTCCTCGGTGGTGATTCCCTTCCTCTGGGCTTCCACAGCTCTTGTATTTTTTTTTTTTAATGTTTTACTTATTTTTGAGAGAGCGCAAGCAGGGGAAGGGCAGAGAGAGAGGGGGATGGAGGATCTGAAGGGGGCTCTGTGCTGACAGCAGCGAGCCTGATGCAGGGCTTGAACTCACGAACCTCGAGATCATGCTCTGAGCTAAAGTCAGACGCTCAATCGACTGAGCCACCCAGGCACCCCAGCCCTTGGTTTATATAACCAGTTTATCACTGTAGTGGGATTTGTTAAGCTCTGTATGCTTGCTAATAGGAAAGGCCTTTAGAGCAAGAACAATGTCTCGCTCGTTCCTATACCTTCCACTTTGCGGCCCTTAACATCTCAAACCCCTGGGACGCCTGGGTGGCTCAGTCGTGAGATCAGGCCCCTAGTTGGGCTCTGCACTGACAGCGTGGGGCCTGCTTGGGATTCTGTCTCTCTGCCCCTGCCCCACGCACACACCGCTTTCCCTCAAAATAAATAAATAACTGAAAAAAAAAAAAATAAAAGACACCT